ACTAAAAATCGATACTTATTTCTTGCATTTTTACTTTCTGTTTTATTTTACTGATTTTGCCGATTTTACTGTTTTTTTTGATTTGTTAATTCTTTCTTACTTTTTCGAAAATGATTAAAATTGGATACTGTATTACGACAGTTGGTAGCACACTGCAGAAGGGAACTTCAACTGCTACAACAATAAGAAATTTTCTTTTATTATTATTATTATCATTATTATTATTATTTTATTTACTTATTTACTTATTATTTATTTATATAATATTTAACAGTTCTATATCCTAGGTAAGTGCATCATGGCAATTCTATCACAATAGATGACACTACTAATAAAATATATAATTAATCAATTGATTTAGAGTAGGTGTCACCCATACTATTAAACAATTTAGAGTCAATTACCAAATTAATATGTATATGCAAAACCATTGAAAATAAAGCATATAATCTTTCATATGATAACAATAGGAACTGAAAAAAATTATAACAAAACAAACCTTGCAAAGGGTGATAATGCACAATTACAGAATTTATATGCAATAACAAAACACTTATCATTATTAAGATATTAATACCAAAAATAATATTTGGTACATTGTTATACAAATAAATAAGTATAGTAATGTGGCGTAATAAATTAAGCTTAAATAAATTTATATTTAAATAGACTCTATTTTAAGTGAAATTAACAAATTTTTTTGAGTATAAAAATGAAACCTAATTTTAAACTTGGTTATTTATTTTAATACCTTAATGCAACTAAATAAAAAAAATTGAATTTTCAATAAAATCCTATCTGCAAAAAATATTTGGATTGGTCAAATATAATGCCAATTCACCTTTGTGTGAAAGATTAGGTTTGCATTATGATAGTTATTTATCGTTCAGTTTTTTTTTTTAAAATATCAAAGAAATAAGAAATTGTACTATAATTTTTTTTTAAAAAACATCTTATCTGATTTATGTTGTACCAATACACAATCATATAGTTCTTCAGACAGTTCTCGTTCAAAATCAGCAAATAAAAAAAAATGTATAAATATCTTTTACATGTGTTTTTGTTTTTTTTATCTTACACAAAAATCAACAAAAAAAAAAAAAAGACAATATGTTATAGAACAATAAGTGAAAACTTAAAGCAACTGAAATTTTACAGCAATTTCCTATTGAAAGAGAAGGTTCACCAAGCTCTTTGACATTACCTAAATATATTTCTAATTCAAACTTATTAAATGCTACAAACTCTGGAGAACAAACCTTATCACCTGTTTGGAAGTACTTTAACCAAAAGAAAACTCAGTTGCCTGGACATTTTTTAGCAGAATGCTCTTATTGTCCTGCTAAATGGTCAAGAGGTGAACCACAGAAACTTGAGGCACATCTTGCATTAGAATGTCCTAATGTTAATAATGAGATTCGACAAATATATTTGCTTTGTGTAGCTTATCATAACAATTTGGAAGAAAAATCAGAAAACTTAACTAATTAAAAAAAAAAGAAGTCAAACAATAGTCAGTCTTGTCTTACAAAGTATTTTCCACAAAAAGAAGGAGAAAATTTATCTGAAGAGCAAATAAACTCTATAAATAGTTCGTTATTAAAAGCATTTGTAACTTGCAGTATTTCATTCTCCATAATTGAAAATCTATTTTTCATCGACCTCCTTCAAAATTTGTGTTCAAATTACCAACCACCTTCAAGAGAAGTTCTATCAGGTCGATTGTTGGATCAGGAGTACTCTAGGGTTACAGTTAAACATGAGGCTATTTTTAATGAATCTGAGAATCTAACTCTTGGTATGTACTATAAATATTTATTAATTCTGGTTTGTAACTATATTTTATTACTTATTTAAATTAAATTTCTTATTAGCATTAGATGGGTGGACATCACCCAATGGAAACTCCATATACAGTTTTATAATTTTAACATCCTCACATCAAAGTTTTTTGTATTCATTAAATGATTTCTTAGCAAATTCACATACAACAGAATTTCTCACAGATACAATTAACACAATTGTAAATGAAATTGGATGTGATAAATTTGCTGCAATTGTGACGAATAATGCTAGTAATGTAAAGCTTGCACAGCATATTATTCATGAAAGGTATCCAAATATTTTAAGTTTAAATTGTATTGCACATTGTATAAACCTTGTATCAAAGGATATTCTTAGTAAGTGTAATTAATTTTTTTTATTAGTGTTATTAATATATATTTAATTAAGTGTTATATATATATCAATATATATATATTTTTTTTTAGAGCATACATTTGCTTCACATCTTGTAAAAGAATGTACTGAAATCATAAAGTTTTTTAAAAAATCGTATCAGCCAAATTCGCATCTGCATTATGCAATTTCTGAATTAAAAATTTTTGGTGGAGGATTAAAGAAATTTATAGACACAAGATGGACTTCCACATATGAGTATGCCTTATCTTTTAGTAGACTTGAATGTGCATTTATTAAAATAAATATTTTTATTATTATTAAAAAAAAAAAAAAAAAAAACTAATTATTTATTAATATAATATATAGATTATGAATGATAATCCAGACATAATTTCAAATCAAGCTATAAAACAAATTTTAAAGCAGCCATATTTTTTTTCAAATCTTAAAATTTTAGTTAAGATCTTATCTCCTATTCGAACAGCAATAACAAATTTGAAGGCACGATCAACAATACTAGCTACTGCTTTTTACAATTTATTCAACTTGCAGCTGCTATTAAGAAAGTTCTGAATTTACAGGCCAAAGAGTTTAAAAGTTACTGTGTACAAATTTTTAATAAAAGGTGGAGAGATTTTAATGCTGATAATTATTTGCTAGCATATTTCCTTCACACAGGTTATCATGATATATATTTTCAAATTATTAGTAATTGTATTATTAGTAATTGAGTATAAGTTAATTAATGTTAATATAATTCTTTACTAGGTGCTGGGTTACGTGAACAACAATTTCAATCAATTGTAATAACCACAATTAAGATATGGCAACAGGAAGGGCATAATCAATATGAATGTGCTAATCTTGTAGCTTGTATGTGATTATTTCATGAAAAAAAAAGTGGATTTGATTTGCCTTACTGTTTTGAAACTAATACACCTTTATTGTGGTGGAGGACTACTTATGCTGGTTCTAAATCTATTGGAAAACTAGCAGCCAAGCTCTTTTCAATTACACCCCACTCCGCTGATTGTAAAAGGATCTTTTCATCATTGGGTTGGTTGTATGGAAAATGGCGGCAATAACTTTCCTTATCCCGAATTCAAGCTATAGCACAAGTTTGATCTTACTATATTTCAAATATAAAAAAGGAACTATTTTTTTTTGGTAATAAATTATTATGTGATGATTTACAAGAACAAGTAGCATCAGCAACCTTTTTAGTTGCGAATGATAAAAGCATTGCTAAAGACTCTGAAATAGAAGTACTGAATATAATTCAGAGGTTATTAAACATTTTGATATTGAAAATATAGTATTTCTAAATGATGAAATGTTTCAAGATGGTGGATCTGATATTGACAATAAAGAACTACAAAGTGATAGTAATGATGAATTGGATGAATGTAATGATGAAGATTTTGATGTTAGTAAAATAGGACAAGATGTATTTGATTTTAATTCTACGGATTTAACATCAAACTTAATGAATGAATAGAGTTATGAAAATATAGATGAATGTAGCTATGAAAATAATGATAACAATTTAAATAGAATAGATAAGTGTGTTGATAGTGATTTAGATATTAGTGATTTAGATATTGAATCTGAAAAAGATAATAGTGAGAATTCAATTATTATAGAGAATGATAATAAGAATTTAGAGTCTTTACCTATAGCAATTTGAAAAACTTGTTATAAGAATTTAAAAAGATGATAAAGTTATATATTATCTTTTTGTAAAGTGATTTTCACTTCAATTATAGAATACAATAAAAGACGCATTTAGCAAAAAATAAACAAAAAAGTGATTTTTCTGTTTTATTATAGTATTTTAGTAAATAATTTACTAATTGCCAATAGTTTTATTATTTTCAGAGGTTTGTTAATTGTCAGGTGTTTCATCAGTTGTTTCATCAGGGGTTTTGTCAATCATCAGGGGTTTCGTCAATTGTCAGGAGTTTCATCAATCATCAGGGGTTTTGTCAATCGTCAGGAGTTTTGTCAATCACCAAGGTTTCGTTATGACAAAACCATGACGAAACCAATTGTCATCATGAAAATAGTTTCATCAGGCATCATTACTTGTGACTTTATATCATGATTTCTATATTTGTCTGATGAATTTTTGCATCAATATCATACAATAAGTGCAGAAATAGTTTATGTTCACAAAATCTTAAGTTTGATTGGTCTGCATAACTTATTCATTAAATTTATCAGGAACGAATATCTTTATATGCAAAGTCTTGAAATTGATTGATCTGTGTGACTTATTCATAGTTTAGTAAAAAACAAAAAAAAAACTTATAAATGAGCATGTACATCTGTAAAATCAAAGATGCAATAATAAACAGTAGAAAAAATAAATTTTTTTCACAAAAATTAGTGATCCAATATAAATTTAAAATCCTCAATGCTAAATATTTTGTAATTTTCATTTTTTTTCATCGAATTTTTTATCAGGCAGATAAAATAATAATCACTGATTGTCAAAGACTTAATCGAAAGAATTTGTCAATCCTTTCTAAATACATATTATTATTGCTCGATTAGAGCTTTATTAATATAAATATCGATGAAATAACATATGGGAATAGTTTCACTACATCAGTCAGTACTAATACTAATTTAATCATATATGTACAAGACTATAATAGGTATTAGGTTAGAGTTTCTATCTTGAGAATCATATAGCTATAGTGAGGATTGGTCGAGAAATGTAATAGTGCCTGGTGTATTCTCCTAGCTGTAGGTCTAACGTAGAAAAAGTCCAGGTCCTGAATGTAAAACCTAGTATATCTATTGCAGTCTCAGCTTAAAATATCTGAAAAAAGGGGGTCCTTGCACTGTTAATGCAGCTGCCAAGCCCATATAGCAACTTACCTGCTTAACAGTTGGCAATTCGGGTCCTTGCACTGCCCTTGCAGCCATGGAGCCTTTAATATAAGTTCTTGCACTGCCTTTGCAGTCGTGGAGCTTA